GTAGCGGGTATGAAGCTGGTCTACCAGCCTTCCGCAGGCGACTCATCCCCGACGCTCACAACTGTCCCCCACCCCACACGCTCCCCCCCAACCCCCCGTTTTTCACCAGGACGCGGTGCAGCAGATGGACATCAGCACGCAGATTCTCTTCAACCGCGCCATGGCGCAGCTCGGTCTCGCCGCCTTCCGCAGGGGGCTCATCCCGGACGCCCACAGCTGCCTCGCCGACCTCTTTGCTGGCGGCCGCGTGAAGGAGCTCCTCGCACAGGGCGTCTCCCAGTCCCTTCCCCTCACCTCCCCTCCCCTCCCTTCCTCCCTTCCTCCCGCCCCGTGCGCCCCGTGCGCTCCCTCTCCCGCCCTTCCCCCGGCCCCGCGCCCAACCCTCCCCCCCTCCCCCCATACCAACAGGACGCGGTGCAGCAGATGGACATCAGCACGCAGATTCTCTTCAACCGCGCCATGGCGCAGCTCGGTCTGGCCGCCTTCCGCAGGGGGCTCATCCCCGACGCCCACAGCTGCCTCGCCGACCTCTTCGCGGGCGGCCGCGTGAAGGAGCTCCTCGCACAGGGCGTCTCCCAGTCGCGGTTCCACGAGAAGACCCCCGAGCAGGAGCGCGTGGAGCGGCGCCGGCAGATGCCGTACCACATGCACGTGAATCTGGAGTTATTGGAGGCGGTGCATTTGCTGTGCGCCATGCTGCTCGAGGTGCCGTCGCTGGCGGCGGGCTCAACGGACGGGCGCAGGCGCGTTATTTCTAAGAATTTCCGCCGGTTGCTCGATATGTACGAGCGCCAGACCTTCACTGGCCCCCCTGGTGAGTCTCCGGAGTGTGTGTGGGGGGAGATTACAGGGGTGAGTGGTGGGGGGAGTGCGGGTGCAGATGCCGTACCACATGCACGTGAATCTGGAGCTGCTGGAGGCGGTGCATCTGCTGTGCGCCATGCTGCTGGAGGTGCCGTCGCTGGCGGCGGGCTCAACGGACGGGCGCAGGCGCGTTATCTCCAAGAATTTCCGCCGTTTGCTCGATATGTACGAGCGCCAGACCTTCACCGGCCCTCCTGGTGAGTCCATCACTCCTTCTCCCCCGGTTTTCCTCTGTCCTGGCGACTGTTTAGAGGGAGTTTTGCATGGGGAGTGCCTGAGGGAATACCTGGGGAAATGGAGGAGGGGAAAGCTGCGGTGAGTGCGGGGGCAGATGCCGTACTACATGCATGTGAATCTGGAATTGCTGGAGGCGGTGCATCTGCTGTGCGCCATGCTGCTCTGCTGTGTGGCGACTGGCAGCGGGCCGTGCAGCTGGACCTGTGGAATCTGCTGCTCCGACCCTCCTTTTCCCTGCTTTTCCTTCTCTGCAGAGATCTTGAGGGATCATGTGGTGGCTGCTTCTCGAGCTCTCATGTGCGGCGATTGGCAACGGGTTGTGCAGCTGGCAGAGGCGCTGGACGTGTGGAAGCTGCTTCCCCAACCCGCCTCTTCCCCTCCCGCCTATCCTCCTCCCCCCTGTTCTCTCGCTTTGCAGAGAACGTGAGGGATCACGTCATGGCGGCATCCCGCGCTCTCATGTGTGGCGACTGGCTGCGGTCCGTGCAGCTGGCAGAGGCGCTGGACGTGTGGAAGCTGCTGCCGGTGGCGCAGAGGGAATCGGTGCTGGGCATGCTGCGGGGCAAGATCCAGCAGGAGGCTCTTCGGACGTTCCTCTTCAACGCGTCGTCCACTTATGCGTCGATCAGCCTGGATCAGCTCACACAGGTGGGCGCTGGGCGGGATTGAGTGCGGTTGGATGGGATTGGGTGAGACTGGGAGGGGTTGGGTGGGATTGGGTGGGATTCCGATGGGCTTGAAAGAGGGGAGTGAATGTGTGAGGCGCTGGACGTGTGGAAGCTGCTGCCAGTGGCGCAGAGGGAGTCCGTGCTGGGAATGCTGCGGGGGAAGATCCAGCAGGAGGCCCTGCGGACGTTCCTCTTTAATGCCTCGTCCACTTATGCTTCCATCAGCCTGGATCAGCTCACACAGGTGGGTGTTCGGCAGGGTTGAGTGCGGTTGGGTGAGGTTGGAAGGGATTCGGTGGGGTTTGAAGGCGGGAATGGAAGAGGGAGGCGGTGCTGGGGATGCTGCGAGGGAAGATCCAGCAGGAGGCTCTCCGGACTTTCCTCTTCAATGCCTAGTCCACCTATGCATCAATCAGTCTTGACCAGCTCACACAGGTGGGTGTTCGGCAGGGTTGAGTGCGGTTTGGTGAGGTTGGAAGGGATCCGGTGGGGTTTTGAAGGCGGGAATGAAAGATGGAGGCGGTGCTGGGAATGCTGAGGGGGAAGATCCAGCAGGAGGCGCTCCGGACGTTCCTCTTTAACGCCTCGTCCACCTATGCGTCAATCAGCCTGGATCAGCTCACACAGGTGGGCGTTGGGTGCGATTGAGTGCGGTTAGATGGGATTGGGTGTGGTTGGATTGCGTTGGGTGGGGTTGGGGATTTGTGGGAGTTATGAAGGGCGGTTTTTAACCACACATCTTTCCCTACTACCTCCCTCCACCTCCCTTGCATTTACAGATGTTCGGAATGACGGAGAAGGCGGTCACAGGGGTGGCGAGTCGCATGATGATGAATGAGGAGATCAGCGCCAGCTGGGACCAGCCCTCTAACACCCTATCTTCCCCCCTTCTGTATCTATCCCTTGTGTTTGTATCTCTCTTGAGTTCAGATGTTTGGGATGACGGAGAAGGCGGTCACAGGGGTTGCCAGCCGCATGATGATGGACGAGGAGATTAGCGCCAGCTGGGACCAGCCCTCTAACACCCTGTCTTCCTCCCTCTGTCCCGTTGTGTTGGTCTTGAGAGCAGATGTTTGGGATGACGGAGAAGGCGGTGACGGGCGTGGCGAGTCGCATGATGATGAACGAGGAGATCAGCGCCAGCTGGGACCAGCCCTCCAAGTGCATCGTGGTCAACGCGGTCAACCCCTCGCGCCTGCAGCACCTTTCCCTGCAGGTGAGAGCAGTGAGGAGAGTCAATTGGCGTTTGGCTGGTTGACCATTTGGGTGGAAGTGGGGGTAGCGTCTGGTCAACATAGTCAATGTGGTCAATCCCATTCGCCTGCAGCACCTCGCCCTGTCTGTGGGATTTGGAACCTTGCATGTGCAGTGTGTGCGTAGCCTCCTGCTGCTCCAGTTTTATTTTTGGAAAGAAGTGGCTCCTTTCGCATCGTCTGGTGTTAGCAAGATTCTGACAACCAACCTTTTCTTTGCTTCTGATTTTACTTTCGCCCCTCCTTTCTTGCCTTTCCTTCTCCCTATGTCGCCTCTTTATTTCTCCCATGTTTCCACTCATTACAGTACGCGGATAAGCTATCAGTCCTGCTGGAGGGCAACGAGCGGGCATTCTAAGAGAAGAGAGGGGCCATGACGATCAAATTCTGAGACGCCTCAATCTCTTTTCTCCTTCTCTATCCGTTTCTCTCCCCTGCTTCCCACTGTTTACAGTACGCCGATAAGCTATCAGTCCTGCTGGAGGGCAACGAGCGGGCATTCTAAGAGAAGAGAGGGGCCATGACGATCAAATTCTGAGACGCCTCAATCTCTTTTCTCCTTCTCTATCCGTTTCTCTCCCCTGCTTCCCACTGTTTACAGTACGCCGATAAGCTATCAGTCCTGGTGGAGGGCAGCGAACGGGCATTCTCAGAGAAGACAGGCGGCATGACCATCGAAGGCGCAGGGGGAGAGAGAGGCGGACTGTTTCATAGTAGCCTTTGCCCTTACTCACTTCCCGTTCCTCCTTCATTCTTTCCACCCCCTGTGTCCGCTTCTTTCCCTTGCTTTCCACCGTTTACAGTACGCGGAGAAGCTATCAGTTCTCGTGGAGGGCAACGAGCGGGCCTTCTCAGAGAAGACGGGCGGCATGACGATCGAAGGCGCAGGGGGAGAGAGAGGCGGGGGCAGGCGGGGCAAGGACGGCGGTGGGGACTATGGGGGCGGGCGCAGGGATGATTACGGTGGCGGGGGAGGGGAGAGGTACGGCAGAGGGGGAGGACGAGGCGGGTATGGCGGCCGAGGGGGAGGGAGAGGAGGATGGGGAGGCGGTGGGGGCGGTGGTGGCGGGGGCGGGAGAGGTGGGTATAGAGGGGGAGATGGGGGAGGAAGGGGAGGGCGTGGGGGCAGGGGGGGGTATAGAGGAGGGGATGGAGGAGGGAGGGGAGGAAGGGGTGGTGGTGGCGGTGGTGGTGGTGATGCTAGCAGGTTCGTCAACCTTGGTCGGGCGGGAGGGTATTAAATTGAGTGGCTGTTTCTATCAAGTGGTGCTGTCAAACGTGTGCCAGAAATCCCGAATTTTGACGCGTCGCAGTGAAGGTCTTGTGTGGAAGAGGAGGGTTGGTTGGTATATAGGGAACTAGTTTTACAGAGTATGAAGTCTGTCGGTGAGATGAGCAGTTGGGGAGCTTGGAACATGCTGCTGATGTGCTGCCCATTCAAGTCCATAGGGTTTAGAATCTTGTGCCATCAATTTTGCCACTTTACTCTTAATGGTTGTGCCACTTTACGCTTCCTGCAGTTCAATGTTTCTGCAACTCTTTTGTTTTTCAACAAACTTTAATGCAGTAGTCTTCCAAATTCACTCTTGAAAGCAGCCTGGCGGCATAGAGAAAATGCCTGTACTGTTTGCCAACACCTCTGTTTGGCAACACCTCACTAAGAGAAAATATTCTGGACCTAAGCAGGGAATGTTGAACAGGTGCCGCCTTGCCGCCTTGGAGCGACGCTCAAAACAGTGTTTTGATCCAGGTATACCGGTAGGTAGTGCAGCAGCAGCTACGAACGCCAGTTGGTGTCCAAAACCACAGAAAATCGTGCGTGGAGTTGTGAGTGCGTGTTTTCTGCACCCATTTATCCTGCCATGTTTAGACGAGCCTGCCTGATTCGGCATGCCCGCAAGGGCATGGACAAAACGTTCAGGCTGGAAAATCATGGGTACAAGGGCCTGGCTTGAAGAGCATGGTCAAAAGAGCATGACTAGAAGAGCATGGCGTTGTGTGCGAGGTCTCGGAGGTTCTGCAGCACCATGGGACACGTGGAGCCGATGTCCTCTGCTAGCTGCTGCTGCTGACTGTGTGACACACAGAGCAGAGTGGAGCAGGCCCAGACACAATCACACGAGCACAGCTAGAAGGGCCTGGCTAGAAGAGCATGGCGTTGTGAGCGAGGTCCCTGAGGTTCTGCAACACCATAGGGCGTGTGGAGCCAATGTCCTCTGCTAGCTGCTGCTGCTGACTGTCGTCCATTAGTGCGTACCTGGTGGGTGCATGCGTAATTGCATGTGGGATACATGCGATAAATGGGATACACAGGTAAAGGGTGGATGGGTGCATGGGTGGATGGGTGCATGGGTGGATGGATGCATGGGTGGATGGATGCATGGGTGGATGGGTGCATGGGTGGATGGGTGCATGGGTGGATGGGTGCATGGGTGGATGGGTGCATGGGTGGATGGGTGCATGGGTGGATGGGTGCATGGCTGCATGGGTGCATGGGTGCATGGGTGCATGGGTGCATGGGTGGATGGGTGCATGGGTGCATGGGTGCATGGGTGGATGGGTGCATGGGTGGATGGGTGCATGGGTGCATGGGTTCATGAGTGCACAGAAAAGGTAAACTCACTGAGCAAGAAGCTGCGAGTCAATCATTCGCTCCACTCCAGTCTGCTGCTGCCCCTTCCCCACCCCCTGAACCGCCCGGAACGCCAGCGGGTGCAACCCTGCCGTCTGCGCCACTGCGGTTACCATGTAACGCTGCACCGTATCCAGCCTCCGAAACACCAGCTCTGGAACTGGGGTCACCACCGCAATCGCCCCCCCGAGCGTCCCTGCCAGCACGCCGAACCTGTTGGTTCGGCCCGAAGCTGCCGCCGCTGGGTTCCTCTGCTGCTGCCCTACCCCCCCTCCCACCCCTCCTCCTCCTCCTCCTCCTCCTCCTCCTCCTCCTCCTCCTCCTCCTCCTCCTCCTCCTCCTCCTCCTCCTCCTCCTCCTCCTGCTGATGCAATGGCAAGAGGAGGAGGCAGCGGCAATCGGAGAACCTTCGAGAGCACCTCTCCTGTATGGAAAGATGCCTTGAGCAGAAGCTTCTGTCCCATGTGTGTCTCAATGGATTTGGAGTAAGCAAAGACTTGGAGGTTCTTGGCTGTGTCGGTTGCTAGCAGGCCGAGAGCTGAGCCGTCGATGAGAAATTCGACGGCTGTAATCGGAAGAGAGGAGAAGTCGCGTGCGAGGAGGGTGAGCTGAGCGCCCTCCTCTCTCCAGTGCAGGAAGTAAACGCTCTTTAGCACATCCCCTACAATCACAAAGCTCTTCACCTGAAACACAAGGAGGGAGGAAGAGGGGGGTGGGGGGAAGGGGAGGGTGGTTGGGGTGAGCTGAGCGCCCTCTTCTCTCCAATGCAGGAAGTAGACGCTCTTTAGCACATCCCCAACTATAACGAAGCTCTTCACCTGAAACTCAAGGCAGAAAAACGGGGTGCGGAGAGGGGAGGCTGGGTGTTAGGCGATTGGAGTTTAATCACAGAGCATTCTATCACATTCCACGCGTACAGCACCAGCTGACACCTCATCAATAACAGTGGATTGCCCTGCAGTGCTGTGAAATTATCTGAGCCGCCCGATAGCATGATTGGACCAAACCAAACCGCACCCAACCCAACCACTCACAGTTGCCATGGAAACAACGTAGAGGGGAGCATCGAGGAAGGCTATCCCCTCTAGCTCCACCCCATTCCACACGTACAGCACCAGCTGCCTCCCCACCGCCAGCAGCAGATTTCCCAACCCTGCACAGCACTGCAGCTCTAAACCAACCCTTTCCCGCTACTCACCGGTGCCATAGAAACCACGTATAGAGGAGCATCGAGAAATGCTATCCCCTCTAATTCCGCTCCATTCCACGCGTACAGCACCAACTGCCTCGTACCGTGACTGTACCAAACTGCACCGAACTCCACCACTCACCGTTGCCATGGACACAACATAGAGGGGAGCATCAAGAAAAGCGATTCCCTCTAGCTCCACCCCGTTCCACGCGTACAGCACCAGCTGCCTCCCCACCGCCAGCAGCAGGTTGCCCTGCAGCGCCGTGAGTGCTGCCACGCTGCCTCTTTGGCTGCTGCCCGCTATGGGCTCCTTCGAATAGTGCTCCCTCAGCTGGTGAATTGGGGGTAGGGGTGGATGGGAGAACAGAAAGCACATGTAATGACGGAGTGCCTGGCTGTGAGTGCTGCCACGCTGCCCCTCTGACTGCTGCCTGCGATGGGCTCCTTTGAATAGAGTTCCCTCAACTGGTGAGTGGGGGTTGAATGGAGGGCCCAAGGGTGGAGTGGGGAGGATAGGGAGCATGGGGACTTGTGACTGATTGCCTGGTTGTGAGTGCTGCCACGCTGACCTTCTGACTGATAACTTGAGAAAGAACTCTGACTGACGCACAGAACTGACAACCAAGGAAAGCAGTGGAGACGCAGGCTTACCAGGGGCACTCCAGTATATCCACAGCCCGCCACCTGTCTCCTTGCTCTGTGCATCTCGAGAGTTCTCAAGTGTGACACGAAGAAAGGCAGGCTTACCAAGGGAATGCCAGTGCTTCCACCAGCTGCCTTGCCCTCGGCATCTGCTGCAGTCGCACCAGCACCATCCCCATCAGCCGTTGCGAGAGGGTTATACTCAAAGAGCAGGATCCTGCCTTTCCCAGGTGCGTCCTCCCCTGTTATAAACGTCGTACACACTGCCAGCAGCGTCTGCAGCTGCCCAGTATTGCGATTCCTCAGCACCACTGACTTTACCATTGTCACCGCTTCAAACGGCTGGAACTCGAAGCTCTGCCGAACCTCCAGGGCCCGGCTCGGGGCCTCCAGGCTCGGGCAGGTTACCACCCGAAGCTGGAAGTCGTCAACCATAGCTACTGCTTCGGCGTCCTTTTCCGAGCCTGTGCCGGAGGTGCCTGGAGCCCCCAGGCCTCCAGGTCCGGCCGAGCCTAGTGCTGCGGTTGAGGGATCCTTTGGGTCTTCTAGGGAAGGAACGAGGAATTGAGAGACAGGGCGGGACACCTGAAAGAGGGAGAGTGAGAGGAAGAGTGAAAGAAAGAGTGAGTAGTGGAATGACGGAGGGATGAAGAAACTAGGGCGGAATACTTGAATGGAGTTTGAGGGAGAGATGGGGACGGTTGCAACAAAACTGGAGGAAAAACAGGAGGGATCAAGCAAAGGTGGGAGGCGTACGGGGGTTGAGGTGACGAGGAAAAGATGAGCTGCATCGGGAGAAAGTGTGACCGAGTGAGGGGTTGAGCGCAGTGGAATCTGTATAATGGGGGGGAATGGGGGAGAGTGTGGAAGAGTAGGGGAGAGTGGGGGAGGGGAGAACATAGGTATTGGTCTGTGCAAGTGTTTGTTGAGAATTCTAAACAAATGGCAGTGGGGAGGGCAGGCGTGGGAGGGGGAGGTGAACAAGTGGTGAAAAAAGAAAGGAAGAGAGAAAAGAACCAGAAAAAGAGAGGCATTTTGGCGTCAAACTTCCCCGAAACCCAATTTGCGCATGCACACACCTTATTCAACGGCCACGCATTGTCGAACTGGAAGAGGGGCGGCAGCTGGCAAATGGAGAGCACGCCGAGAGAGGAAATGAGGAGGAAGCCATGCGTGCAGTTGACGTTGTGGAAGGGTGCCATTGCTACCACGCTCGATGCTGCCTCTTTAGCCTGTGATGGGACGGAGGGCATGGAGGGAGAGAGGGAACGACGATTCAACATAGCTACCACGTTTGATGCTGCATCCGTGGCCTGTGTTGATAAGGGGAGGAATGGATGGAGAAGGGGAAAGAGAGAGAGGAGATGAGGAGGAAGCCATGTGTGCAGTTGATGTTGTGGAAGGGCGCCATTGCTACCACACTCGACGCTGCCTCAGCAGCCTGTGATGGGACGGAGGGCATAGGTGGCATGTGTGGCATATGCAGCATGCGTTGAAAACGGTAAGAATGGAGGGAGTTGGGGAATGAGGGAAAAATGTCATTTACTGTTAGCCTGCTTTGTTCAAACTAGTGTAATTTTTTACTCGGGACAGGAGCATGATCAATGGCACGAGACACTAAAGCACATGAGATGACGAATTTTGAGTCGACTCAGAAGATTCGAGACGTCTCAAAATTTCACTATTATCGCGTAGGATGATCAAAGGCACGAGATGCCAAAGCACAGGGTTGCATGCATGGCATGCATGGCTTGAGACTCACCACGGGGTGCATCCACACTCTGTCTCGCAACAGCATCAGCCATCTCGGCCTGCTCCCAGCCACAAAGACACCGCCGATGCCACCACCACCACCCTTACCCCTCCCACCCACACCCCCGCCTCCATCCCCTCCTCCACTCCCCTCCAGCCCCACCCCTTGAAACGGGAACAGCATCTTCTTTCTCGCTCTCCCAGCCTTCCTTCTCCCTTCCGTACCCTCCTCCCCCTGCGCCTTCTCTTCTGCTGCAGTATCACCTCCCCCACTTTCACCTCCCCCACTCTCGCCTTCCCCATTCTCGCCTCCCTCCTGTTTCACCCTGCCCTCTCCCCTTCCACCCCCATTACCTGCACCTGCCTCTCTCCCCACCACCCCCTCCCCTTTCCTCTCCTCCTCATCTTCCTCCTCCCCCTCCACCTCATGAATCCCTGCCTCTTCCTCCTCTAAACAAACCCTCTGAAACCGCAACCCACCTACCCCTAATCCACCCAACCCTAATCCACCTACCCCAATGCTACCTACTCTTCCTCCAGTCTCCCCCTCCTCCATCCCCTGCCCTCCTCCTCCTCCCCCTGCTCGCCCTCCCACCCTCGCACCACGCTCCCCCGCTATTGTCACGCTCGCCGCAATCACATCTCGAGGGGAGGCTCCCGAGGGGCAGAACGCTCTGAACCCCAGCAGCCGCCCGTCTGAAAGCACTACAAACAAAAATAGCCGCCCGGTGACGGGGTTGACGGACACATGCAGATCGACAGCGAACACCTTCGGCCAATCAGGCGCTGACGGGGAGGTGGCAACTGGTGCAGGCGTGTGTGCTGCTACTGCGCTTGCTCCTCCATCCTTCTCTGGTTTCTTTGATGCCTCTGAATCTTTCGCCTCTGCTTTCACCTCCTCCTCCTCTGCTTTCACACCCACGCCCTTATCCCCACCACTCCCAGCACCACTCCCAGCACCACTGCCACCATCCATCTCAACATCAACCTCTTTCCCTTCCTCCCTCCCCTCCTCACTCCTCTCCTCCTTCACCCCCATCTCCTCATCTCCTTTCGCCCCTGTCTTGCCGGACCCCTGCTTCCCATCTGCGTCCTTCTCAGCATCCCCAGGCTTTATATCCACCTCCATTGCTTCACTCCCTGCTGTAGCGGCAGCTGTATCGGCGGCTGTAGCTGCTCCTGTCGCTACTGCTGCTGCTGCTGCAGATCCTGCTTTAAGAGCAGATTCCTTTTCTCCTCTGTCTGGCTCTGCTGCAGCTGTTGCAGCAGCAACAACGGCCGCAGCAGCAGCGGCTGCAGCAGGAGTGTGCTTCAAGAGAGTGTGACTATCCGCAAGGCCCAGGGAGGAGAACACGCAGCGGAGAGAGGGGAGCAGGTACAGCTGGAGCAGGCCGGACCTACGAGCCACAGCACAGAGGGGAACGGAAGGAAAAGGAGGAGCAGTAGTAGAGGAGGGAGTTCCTTTGCTGCTGCTGTTACCACCGCTGCTGCCACCACTACTGCCAAGGGCATAAGCTAATGCACTGCTGCTGCTGGTGCTGCTGTTAGTGGTTGTGGAGCCATTGGGATTGAATATGGGTGGCGAGGGGGAGAGGAGGAGGGAGTATGCCGTGATAGGGTCCGAGGAAGGAGTCGGTAGGTGGCATGGAATGGGCACCAGGGAGAGAGGCTTGGACGGATCTGCAGGGTGGGATGATAGGAGGAAACAAGGAATTGTTAGTTTCTTTTCTGGGAACATATTTGGGATTCTTTGAGCCAAACCAAATTGTTGTTTGCAGAAACCAGTTGCATTACCTGGGCCTAGCAGCACGAATCGGCCATCCACCAATCGCAGCATGACATATGGATCCGCCACGTCAGCAGACTCAATCTCCACGTCCTCTCCACCCTCCTTCCCCTCCTCCATCCCCTCCCCGCCCCCTTCCCCCACCCCAGACAACATGCCACGTGGCAGCATCTCCTGCAGCAGGCTGGCTGAGCTGGCGAGCAATCGGACGGCTGAGGGCGTGACTTGGAGGATGCAGCGGCGGGAAAAGAGGTTGGCGGCCAGGAGGGTGGGCGCGTCTGTGATAAAGCTGACCTCCGCTGATACCTCCCGAAGCAACTCGCCTGTTTCTAATACCTGCGGTTGGGGCGGGAAAGGCAGAAGAGGGAGGGAGGGAGTGACTTGGAGGATGCAGCGGCGGGAAAAGAGATTGGAAGCCAGGAGGGTGGGTGCATCGGTGATCAAGCTGACTTCTGGTGACACCCCCCGAAGCAGCTCTCCTGTTTCCAGCACCTGGGAAGAACGTGGGAGGGTGGGAAGGATGGGAGGGGGGAAGGGGTAGGAGTGACTTGGAGGATGCAGCGGCGGGAGAAGAGGTTTGTGGCCAGGAGGGTGGGTGCATCGGTGATAAAACTTACTTCTGCTGATACCTCCCGAAGCAGCTCTCCTGTTTCCAGCACCTGAGGGGAGGAAGGAGGGGTGGGTGGGGGGAGGGGGGATTGGGGCAGGAAGGGCAGGAGAGAGAAGGCCGGGAGAAGAGGTTGGTTGGCGGCCAGGAGGGTGGGCACGTGTGTGATGAAACTAACTTCTGCTGATACCTCCCGAAGCAGCTCACCTGTTTCCAGCACCTGAGGGAAGGAATGAAGAGAGGGGGGTTCGGTGGGAGGGAGCGTGGGGGGGGACAATGAAGGTTTATTGAGACTGCAACCAGTGACAGCAAGGAGCGTGGGATAGTGATACATAACAAAACAACTGATGCATCATTTACATCACATGCTACATCTCCCTGCTCACCATGCTTTGCCCTTCAAACGCCAGCACCAGGAACCCATGGTAATTGCCTCCTCTATATCTCTCCCTTCCCTTTCCCTGCTTATCACCACCAGCCCCATGCAGTTTGAAACGTCTTAAGACTCACCATGCTTTGCCCTTCAAACGCCAACACAAGGAACCCATGGTAATTGCCTCCTCTATCTCCCTTCCCCCCCTCTCCACCACCACCACCACTCCCTCCCTCCACCTCCATAGCACCTGCTCCACACCCCTCCTCACCACCCTCAACCCCTCCTACTCCTCCCTTCCCTGCTCCCTCTTCCCCTCCCACCGTCCCTCCTGCCTCCCCTGCTGTTGTTAGCCCATCTCCTCCTCCGTCCCTTGCTTCGGAGGGTAGCTCAGAGCCATAGACAGTCCACAGGCCACAGCAGCCGGGCAGATCCTCCTGTAGGTGGAATAGTAATGGAAGGCACGAGTTGGATTTAGCGAAGGCACATGCACGAGTTGGATTGCTGCCAGTTCAGCTCCTCCCACCCTCCCTTGCTTGGGAAGGTAGTTCCTGTGAGACCGCAACAGCCAGGAAGGTCCTCCTGTGGATCTACCTTCCCAAGCAAGGGAGGGTCCTCCTGTGATGGGGAAGGGAGCAAGGGAGGAACGGAAGGCACGAGTTGTATCGGGCACAGGCACAGCTGCCTGTCTCGAGAGCATCATGCAGTGGCAGTACCTGTGTGAGCACATCTAGTGGCACTCGCTGCAGCAGCACGGACAGAGCGCCCTATTGTAATCACTTTCCAACAACTCACCCCCAGCACCACGCAGTACCTGTGTGAGCACATCTAGTGGCACTCGCTGCAGCAGCACGGACAGAGCGCCCTATTGTAATCACTTTCCAACAACTCACCCCCAGCACCACGCAGTACCTGTGTGAGCACATCTAGTGGCACTCGCTGCAGCAGCACGGACAGGGCACCGTTCTTCCCATGCCCACTACATGCAACCAGCATCTGCTGCTGCTGCTGCTGCTGCTGCTGGTCCTTCTGAGGAGTGGGCGTGGGGAAGGCCGGGACGGGCACGAGGTCTCGGATGGGACCGATGTTGAGCAGCGAGTCGCACACACGGAAGGAGAATCCCTCCTGTGACTGCTCCTCCTCCTCCGCACCAGCAGCTGCATCAGCAGGAGCTGCAGGAACAGCTGCTGCACCAGCTTCGCCATCAGAGGCTTCGTCTGCTTTCAAGCGCTTGGCCCCTCGCTGCTTCTCCTGGGATGATCACGCATCGGCACAGATAGGAGGGAAGGAAAGTGGGGAAGGAGGGCGGGGACGTGTGGAGGTGAAGAGTGAGGCAACAGGAGGGGATGAAAGGGGGAGAATTGAAGTGGAGTGAATTGAAGCAGGTAAAAATTAGCGGAAGAAGGACAAGTCAGGAGCAACGGTAGGGGACAAGAGGAATACTGTGTGTGAGAGATCGGAAGTCAAAGTGCGAATTTAAAACTAGCTCTTATCAGCACCTTGCTTACATAGTGACGTACCAGTCCTTGCTCGTTGGCTCGGTAGCGAATGAGCATGCTGTCGCCGAGCCTGCTGGCCACAAACAGCAGGTTCGGGCCGAGGCTGAGGATGCCCGAAGCCTGCACAGTGGCCCGAACCTGCAGTAGGTCCAAGCGGAACGTGGACGCCCTGTGGGCGAGGGTGGGGGGAGAGGGTGTGGGGCGAGAGGGTGTGGGGCGAGAGGGTGTGGGGCGAGAGGGTGTGGGGCGAGAGGGTGTGGGGGGTGGCAGGGTGGGGGCTTGGGGGGGTAGGGGGTTGGGGGAAGGGGTCAACAGCCTGATGGGATACCTGCCTGCCTGCGCGGTGGCACGAACCTGCAGCAGATCCAAACGGAAGGTAGACGCCCTGTGGCGAAGGATAAGGGGGTGGGGGAGTGTGGGGGAGGAAGGGTGGGAGTGTGTGGAGATGGGGGTGAGAATGTGTGGCTTTCCAGAAGGCTGTCATAATCATGACAGAGCGGCATGAGACCTTGATGGGTTGGGTGGCCTTATGAGTGGGGCTGGAGTGACACGCACAAAGGGACAAAGGGAGCATAGGGAGCAAAGGGAGAAGAGATAGCACGACCACTCTCCCGAAAGGCATGACAAGGCACAGAGAGAAACGGGCCCAGCAGTGAAGACACGCATCCTCCCTGACTCGCTTCCAGCTCATGCCTCTCTTTGACTATCCCTCCTGCTTTCTTACTTTGGCTCGTGCATCACTTTCACCACCACCAGCGCCCCGCCTTTACTCGCAAGAAACGCAACAGCACTGCTGCTGCTGCTCCCACTGCTGTTGCTCCCACCAACTCCAACCGGCCCCCCAGATGGCCCAATCACAGGCTGCCACGTGGCATGGGCTGCTTCCAGCTCCACGGACAGTGGCGCCTGCCCCGGCTGCTGACGTGGACGGGGGATCTCGGTGCCATCTGGCAGCGCGGGCGGCGACGAATCGTTGAGCGCCAGGTGGCAGGTGGAGGAGGAGGAGCAGAAGTGGAGGGAGTGGGGGGAGAGGACGAGCAGGCCCCCAGGGGGGAAGGGGGCGGGGGAGAGCGAGTAGGAGTCGAAAGGAAGATGCTGCAAGACGGGTGGAGTGGGGGGGAAGGGGAACGGGAGAGGGGAAGATATTGGGGAGAGGGGAGAGAGCGTAGGAGTCGAACGGAAGATGCTGCAAGACAGGGTGGAGTGGGGGGGAAGGGGAACGGGAGAGGGGAAGATATTGGGGAGAGGGGAGAGAGCGTAGGAGTCGAACGGAAGATGCTGCAAGACAGGGTGGAGTGGGGGGGAAGGGGAACGGGAGAGGGGAAGATATTGGGGAGAGGGGAGAGAGCGTAGGAGTCGAACGGAAGAAGCTGCAAGACAGGGTGGAGCGAGGGGGAAGGAGAGGGAGGGGAGAGGGGAAGGTTGGGGGGAAGGTGGCGGGGGAGAGACTGTAGGAGTCGAAAGGAAGATGCTGCAAGAAGGGTGGAGAGAGAGGGGAGAGGGAAGCAACGACCCTCTCAGAAAAAATCAGCTCACCTTGGTGGTCCCAAGGATGAGGTGTGAGCGGGTGTGCAGGGACACTCGCAGAAACGTGACAGCACAGGAGAAGCGGGCTTCCAGAACAGCAGGGGACGAGCCTCCCAGCCTCCCCGCCCACGCGCTGCCCTCCTCCCACAACACTGCTGCTATGCTCACCTTGGTGGTCCCAAGTATGAGGTGTGAGCGGGTGTGCAGCGACACTCGCAGAAACGTGACAGCACAGGAGAAGCGGGCCTACAGCACAGCAGGGGACGAGCCCCCCAGCCTCCCCGCCCACGCGCTGCCCTCCTCTCAGCCTGCCCACCGCATCGCCACTATGCTCACCTTTGTTGTTCCAAGAATGAGGTGTGAGAGGGTGTGCAGCGACACTCTCAGAAACGTGACAGCACAGGAGAAGCGGGCCTCTAGCACAGCACACAGCACAGCAGAAAACTGACCCTTCGAATCCAGAGTAGCTCAGCTCAGCTCACCTTGGTGGTTCCAAGGATGAGGTGCGAGCGGGTGTGCAGGGACACTCTCAGAAACGTGACAGCACAGGAGAAGCGCGCCTCCAACACAGCAGGGGAGGAGCCTCCCAGCCTTCCCCCCCATGCGCTGCCCTCCTCCCACAGCACTGCTGCTATGCTCACCTTGGTGGTCCCAAGGATGAGGTGCGAGCGGGTGTGCAGCGACACTCGCAGGAAGGTGACAGCACAGGAGAAGCGCGCCTCCAGCACAGCAGGGGAGGACCCTCCCAGCCTCCCCGCCCACGCGCTGCCCTCCTCCCACAGCACCGCCACTATCGGGTCTCCAGGCTCGGACAAGAAGACAAAATCCCGCACCTGGAGGTTCGGGAGGACGGGACGGTGGAGGAGGACGACGGAGCTTACAGGATAGGTTTTTGAGCTGGCTTGGCTTGAAGGAGGCACAGGGGAGGCTAATAATGAGGCAGCCACATAGAAAGAGGCACAGGAAAGGTTAGGTAAAGAAGGCTTCCCTTCAGAGCATTGCAGACTGTGGTGCAGATATCTTACATTGGAGATCCCAAGGGGGCGCAAGTCGATAGTGAACGAGCCGCCGAACCTGGGAGCTTCGCCTGCCGAGCCTCCTCGGAAAGAGGAGGACCGGTCCAAGCCTCCCTTGAAGGAAGCAGAACGTTGGGCTGTGGGCGATATGAGGGTGTCTGGTCCTGTCTCTGTGCTGCCTGGATGGTTGTGTCCTGTCTGGGTATGACCTGTCTGGTTGATTCCTGGCTGCTTGCGAGTGAGAAAATGCAGGTGGCAACGGTACACCAGCACAGCTGAGCACCTTCCCGACCAATCGGAGCGCGCGATGGGCGGGAGCGGAAAGTTTTCCCTGCCCCGCTTTCGAGCCGTCCACTCAGGCCCTTCAAGGTAGTGCAGGGAGCTGTTGGAATCAGGTAGGAGGGTGAAACGTTGGGTGGGTGGAAGGGTGGGTGGGAGGGAGTATGATTTCATTACAGCCTCTCAGTGGAGCAAGTGGGGCCATTACGTTGGCATTATCAAAACTCCACCACAGAGACATAGCCACCTTGCATGGTGTGCCATGACATGTTGAAATCACTTTTGAGAATTCTCAAAAGTGACACGCCTTGCCTTGCCCCACTGCCCACTGCCCCCACGCACCCATGCATACCCATGCATGCATCATCCGCACCTGACTTTAAGCCTCTGCACCGCATCATCAAACTCCACCACAGACACCTTGGCCCGCTGCATGGTGTGACATGAAATGCCTTACCCACTGCCCAGTGCTCCCACACACTTACACGCATGCATGAACCATCCGCACCTGACTTTAAGCCTCTGCACCGCATCATCAAACTCCACCACGGACACCTTGGCCTCTCGAAACGTCAGCACCAACGCATCCTTGCGCCCACTGTACCCCATGCCACCGCTGCTGCCACTGCTGTTGTTTCCAATGCCACTACCAGTAGCGCCCTGCAACACCGCACTCGGGTCTCCTGTAATCCCACCAACAGCAGCAGCAGCGTTCCCCGCACCACCTCTTCCTTCTCTCTTTCCCGACTGGCGTCCTCCCCTCCCTCTCCCTCCTCTCCCGGGCCCCTCTCCCCCTGCCGCGCCTCGCCCTGCTCCTCTCCCCCCACCAACCGCGGAGTTAGATCCACCTCCCCCAGTCCCCACCCAGCCTGCTGCGTCAGGTACTGCCGTCCCTGGCACGACCGCTATGCTCTCTACCACTCCGTTCAACCTGGGGCACGAGGAAAAGGGAGACATGAAGGGCAATTGGATAGATCAGAGAGGGAAGGACGGACAGAGGGAAGGAGGGAAGGAAAGAATGAAGACGGGAAAAGTGGAAACGGGAAGGAGAGAATGGGGAATGATAAGGAGAAGTGAAAACTACACCATGCTCTCCTCTCCACCACCACCGCTCCGTTCAACCGGGGGCAAGAGGAAATGGGAGAAATGGAGTTGCTTCCGGTAGTGACTTCCAGTTGACATAACGCCATTTTTTCACATGCATTTACACCATCTGGACTCGCAGACAACATCCAGGGTTGCTCCAGAAAGTTACTTAAAAGTTTGTCCTACCGTCTCTATTTACTCCCTCCCACCTGAACTCGCAGACTACATCAAGGGTTGCTCCAGGAAGAACGCCAGCATCTTTATGGCTTCCCCCGTCCTTTCCCCCTTCCCCGTTCCGCTCCCCCTCCTCCACCTCCCCGCGCGCCGCGTCGCTTCGCACCGAGAACACTTGCAAGACATTTCCGCGGCTGACGATCAGGTTCGGCAGAGGCTCGGCGGCCGCGGAGCGAGTAAGGAACCCGGACGCACAGCATGTGACGCCGGTCGGCGGATGGACGACTTTAAAGGCCGCGTAACTCATGTCTGCTGTGACTGTTGACGGGTGAACTGGCGACGAGACGGCGTATCATGTAGTCTCCCGTAGCAACGTGAAATGCGCACGGCTCGTGTGAACTTAGGTCAATTTCACTTCAGGAATCTATCAGTGCCGTGAAATGTGATGGTCGGCCAGAACGGAGCAGGCTGTAGCCGCAATGCGATGACACTGACACGACGACAAGCAGCTGTGAGCGCGAAAAAGGCGCACAGTGCGCGCTGGCTTCGGTTTTCTGTGTGATTTCTGCGGTGCGGTGAGCTCATGCTGGTTCGCCGTGTACGACTCTTCGCCAAACACCATCTCCAATGGTTGGAACAAAGCGGGTTCTGTAATACGTACTCATTGTTGAATTTATCATTTACAGATTTGATTTCATAGTGAGTAAACTGACTCACAAGCAGAATGGTTAGCAAGAACAAACAGCAGTCACACTCAACAAACCACGCCAAGATAAGACAGTATCAAAGAATCCATAAGCAAAGTGCAGCTATTAAATAAGACGCCGAAGTGTCTGAACACTAGAGAACTCTGAGAGTCTTAGGTAGCCCTTGAGAGCAGACCTTAGGGGGGTTAACTGCTTCAGCAACCATTTCAGAGCGTGACCATATTCTCAGAGCTTGAGCGTGAGATCAACCTTAGAAGCTCCTCTTTGCTTCCTTTCGTCCATTTCTCCACCTGCTGCGTCCACTCCATTGTCTGCCCCATTAGCAGCCTCAAATGCAAAATTCAATGCAACACCCTTCATCGGAAACGCTGCTACTGAACCGAACCCTAAAGCGGATGCTTTAGACTTCGCGGAATTCCCAAGGCCCTTGGTTTCACTCCGGTCGAGCAGCGTCCCAGTTCCCGCCAAAAGCTTCGCGGCCGCGTTGACAACTTCGGGGGGAGGGGCAGATCTGTGCGACCGGGGAACGGGCAGCCAAGCGGAAGCGGAGCCACTACCCGCGGAACCACTGCCCGCTGCAGCAGGGGTTTCATCTCCGTGCTCTGCCACCACACTCGAAGCTGCTGCAGCGGAATCCTTTTTCGGCTGACCCATCGAACGTTTCATCTGCCCGAGCATCCAATCGATGGCTGGGATCGCATCTGGAGAGGGAGACACTTCAGAAGTCAGCGACGATCGACCGGCAGTGCCAGGAGAAGCAGCGTCACCATCCTTTCCGCCGTTCTCCGCCCCACCAGCAGCAGCCGCCGCGGAGGGTTTCACAGCGCCGCTACTGCCCTGCTGCTCTTGAACCTGTAACAAACCGGCATCGTTAGCGGCGCCGCCATTTGCGCCGTTGGCGACGGACACCGCGGGTTTCAGAGCGGAAGCTTGCGGCAAGCTCGCGGACGGCGTGCGTAGGGTGCTCTCGAGCGGTTTGACCAAGGAGAATATATTATAACCGTGAACAGGGATACCAAGGACAGGCGGCGGCGCGTTCCCCGCCGATGCGCTAAGAGGCGTAGCTGCTGCGAACATTTGCGACTGCATGATTTGGGCCTGTTGTTGCTGCAGCTGAAGCTGTTGTTGCTGCTGCTGTTGCTGCTGCTGTTGTTGCTGGTGCTGCTGCTGCTGCTGTACAGCTTCGTACATGACCTGCGAAAACGATCCTAGCGAAGAACACGGCCCAGCGGCGCCAGTGGCAGGCGCAACCATTGCCGCAGCCGCAGCCGCCGCGGCCGCCGCTGCCGCCGCAGCATACGGGCCACCGGAAAACATCGACGGGTGCATAGGCGTCGCGCTCAGATTCGCGCCGTACGGCATAGACATGTGCATGGGCGGAAACCCGGCGGAGGGAATCGAAGTGGCGGAGGCAGGCATACGCGGTAAAAGCTGCGGCATTTTTCGCTCGGAGACTCCAGGCTGGCTCGTGGTTAGGTTGGATTGGTCCGTGGTAGTGGCACCGCCAGTGCCGTCAGTAACGCCAGCAGCTGCCTGTTCCAGCGGGTTACAAGCCGCAGAGGTACCGCCGGCGGGAGAGGCTGCGCCAATCGCGGCGGACGCAGTCCGTGCAGCTGCAGAAGCGGTATGCGATGCCGCTACCGCCGCCGCCGCTGCCGCCGCGGCTGCAGCACGGTCTTTCTTCGAAGGACGTCCTCTCTTCCGCGGTCGAAGCGCGAGAGCCGGATTGCTCAACGCCTCTGACGCATTCTCGTTCAACCGCTTGCCCTTGCTATCGGATCCGGTCGCGGCGGCGGCAGCAGCGGCGGAGGCGGAAGCTCCCGCTTCCATCAGCTGCGCCGCAGCGAGAGTGTTCGTCAGGCGGAACTGCGGGAACGTGAACATGGGCGGCGCAGGCTCAGCTCCGGGGAACGAGTAGCACGCGGAGCCGTTGGGTGCGGGAGGCGGAAGCCCTTGGCAGTGGAATGGCGAAGAGGCCCACATGGGCGCGTGGGACTGCGCTTGCGCCGCTGCAGCAGCGGCTGCAGCCGCGGAGGCGGGCCAGGCGGAGGAGCCGTCCTGGGGGACGACGCTGCATGAAGGGGTCATGGTGGAGTGTTGAGCGGATAGCATGGGTTCGTGGTTGAGAGCGGAGACGAGAGACATGGATGCTGATGCGGTGGAGTGCGGTCGTGGTAGGTAGGAATAGGCTGGATATGAGCAGAATTTGGTGGAGGCGAATGCGGAGGTAAAATCCGACGAGCGTTCTTTTTCCATGGCTTTAGAAAGAGCAGGCTCAAGTTGAGGAAGCTCGAAAGGTAAAAACTATACTGCAGCAGGAAGCAAGCGGTTTCTACGGGTGAGTAGAAGGCTCTTGATGCTAACGACGCACGGGATAGTCGCACAACGAAATACAGGGTAGGGTATGCAACACTCTTGTGGAACACCCTTGAAACATCCAGCCGCGGGAACCCAGAACAGATAAGAGCCTGCCTGACTCTGAAACTCACAATTGCTGGTTGGGTTGGATGTGAAGAAGATAGTGAAACGGAGGAACAGGCAGAAAGTGTTGTTGGTGGGATAGGGCGAGAGGGAAGGGTGTGAGAGGTGAGGGAAGGGAGTGAACTGGAAGCACGGAACACAGGCGTTCCAGCGCAAGAAAAGTGAGGTGGAAAGGACAATATCTGGTGGGGGGAATCGTGGGGTGGGGGTTGTGCCGTTGAGGACGGGGCAGCAGTTCACTGTATATCCGAAACAAGGGCTGATGGACACATTCGAACTGAAGTCAAAATCTTTTCGCAAATGTTCCAAAACACAGCGGGAGTTGAGATAAAATTTAGATACATCTACAGTTTTCTCGAATTTCAGATAAATGTTCCAGGCAGAAGTATTCTCGTACAGTAGGGTATCGGTTCTTGGAAGTTGCGTGCTGGGGATAGTTTTAGGGCAAACAAACTGTTCTCCGTCAATGGGAATGTGGAAAATGCACAGACGCGTAGAAGCGGGATGAGTTTGACGCGGAATCGGCCGGTAGAGAAAATGTCAACGTTGCCCTATTATTTAGTAAATAGATATGTACAGTGCACACAAAGTGGAAAATGCGCAGAGAAAGCTTATAAAAAATTGCTTTGCAATCCATGAAAGGGAAACACGAAATTTTTGCACTGTTTATCGATAGAGCCACAAGGTTACGCCACTTGATGGCGCATGGCATGAATCTGCCACTGATTCTTGAACATCCCTTCTCATCTGAGGGCGAGGTGGTGGCAAGGCGAGGCGAACAATTGCAAGGACTCTCCTCTATGATGACGTGGACGAACCGCATAAGACTGCTTTGCACACGAGTTTCCAGATTGTAATCATATCCATAAAACCAGCAGATCTGAAGCATCCATCCACCGCAATGCAGTCCTGCCATCCCATCCACCCCAGCCATCGACACTACCCCCACAACGATTGTGGTCTATGAATTTGAGTGCCCGAAACAAAAGATTCAGGCAAATTAAGATTTCAGGAAGGGCAGCCAGCAAAGCCAAACGGACCGCTCCATCATTATCCATATCCTCTGGAAGGAGCTAGAACGGTTCGCAGAATCGAATGGCTGGACGCTCATCATTGCTGATATTCCAGCACCACACGATTTTACGAATGAAAGCGGAGTAATGCTGCACTTCCAACCAATAGCTTCGTGCCGCATTGGAAGATATCCTGAAAACAGGTACCCCACGTCAGCAGGGCATTCATTTGATACAGACATATCCGAAGCACAGCCGCGATACAAGCTGTACTTGACTTGCTGTTGCAAATTATAATCTCAACACAGGAGTAGGGTCACTTGAGCATCCACTGTAGCATTGCAAAGGCCGTTTTTTGCTGGTGTCATTTTTTTTTATTTGCATATACGTACCAACAATTAATTCCCGTTTCTCCACATCCATCCACTATATATGAAGTAGCAGGCACATTCACATAAACATTCGCCAAAGAATGGATGGTTAGCAGTGGGACTGAACTGAAGCTATCTACTTTGTGACATCTGGGATCCTCATTCCAGGTCCTCGCTTCCGATTGTCAAGACTGTGAGGGGATAGCACCAAAGTGGAATATGTTTTAATGACATGCACGCGGAACAGGGTGCACGCAAAAATGTGTGAGTGTGCGTGTACATGTGAGCATCAAGTGTGAGGTGAAGACAGCAAGAGAAAGAGCGTTGAGTAGTATGTATAATAAACGAGAGTAGCAAAAGGGATTCATCTTACAGAACCCATTGCTCCACTTGCGATGGGCGAGCTTCCCAAGGTTGACCAGGAACTTCCCATTAACTCCTGACACACTTCAACGCAGTTCCACTCAGGCCACCTCGCATCCGTAAAACATCACCACCCAGAACATTCCCACCAGCACGTCACCCAACACATCCCACGGACACACCCCCACCGTCCACTTACGATGGCGCGAGCTTCCCAAGGTTGACCAGGAACTCCCCGCTGAAACCGTCAAACACATTCCCGTTCCCCTCCAGACTACACTCCACACTACACTCCACCCTGCACGGCATACTCATCACAACTCAAGAACATGCATTCCCACTCACGAGGGCGCGAGCTTCCCAAGGTTGACCAGGAACTCCCCACTGAGGCCGTCAAACACATTCCCGTTCGCCTCGACTCGATACGCCATGTTGTCTGTGATTGGAAGCCCTCTCTTCACGAGTCTGTCCAGGTCCTTCCGGTGGAGTTCCCTCGCATTCACATACACCTTGGTGTCGCCACCTGAGCAGTTCCTTGGGAGGGCTGGCCCCAGCTCGATGCCAGGCTGGTGTGGGAGAGGGGGAGGAGCCAGACAGGGCGAGATAGTGTCAGGGACAATGACCTGGACTCGTCCTTGCGATGCAGCTCCCTCGCATTCACATACACCTTGCTGTCGCCCCCAGAGCAGTTCCTCGGGAGAGTGGTCCCCAGGCCCCCAGGTCGATCCCAGCCTGTTGTGGAAGAGGGAAGAATTGTCACGAGGAGAAGAGGAGTCAATGTTTCTAGCTGTCAGCGAGAGCCCCCTCTTCACGAGTCTGTCCGGTCCTTCCGATGCAGCTCCCTTGCATTCACATACACCTTGGTGTCGCAGCCAGAGCAGTTCCTCGGGAGGGAGGGCCCGAGCTCAATTCCGGGCTGGTGCGGGAGAGGCAGTATGGTAGGGAGGAGAGAAAGAAACAGTCAAAATGTGTCTGTGATTCAGCAAGAGTCCTTTCTGTCCAGGTCGTTCAGGTGGAGCTCCCTCGCATTCAGATCCAGCTTGGTGTCGCCTCCTGTCTAGACAGACACCACCCTGATGGGTCAATGTGGGGTGAGCCACGGGCCAATGCCAATCTGTATACAGGGCACTTGCCAGAAGTGTCCTACCCTTGTCCACTACTGCTCGAGGCAATGCGCACAATTCAGCCCGATTCAAATTAAACTTGCTGAATCGCGTATTGCCTGAATGAGTTGGGCGTTTTGTTTCGATCATTAGAATTATTTGCGGGCTTATACAAGGCCCTCAGCTGAGCACAGCAGCAGCCAACTCACCGGGATCATCCCAAGGCAGGGCCCTCCCATTTCGCCCCAGAAACCAGCCACCTGGTCGTACCTGCAAGGGAGAGTTGGAGACACAGATGGTGGAAACAGAGGGTAGCAAATGGATGCAAAAAAAAAAGGTGGAAACTGAGGGTAACCAATGCGTGCAAAAATCAATTTTACTTGAAACAGAGGGTAGCAAGACCATGAAAACAAGATGGCAGTGCTAGAAAAGGTTGGTGCCACGAACACGGGCTTACCAGTAGTTGCCAGGCTGGATGGGCCCCGCACGTTCCTCTGCAGCTGCCACGTGGCCATCACTGATTGGCTCCCCATTCACCACCACACACCGAGTGTACGTCAGCCTCCCGTCCCCACTCCCTCCCCCAGCACCACCCCCACCTGAACCCATCTTATTCCCTGTACTACTAGCCATCCCACCACCACCCACAAGAGCCGCCCCAGAGCCCACTCTAACCATGCCACTTGCACCAGTCGCTCTGGCTTCACCCCTCTTGCCTCCAGCCTTTGCAGGAGAGGTACCAGCTGTTGATTCATTGTCAGAAGAGTCTCTTATAGAGCCTACAGGGGACAGCACTCCAGAGCTGTTGCTCCTAAGCGACTCAGAGCTTCCGATCCTAGTTATCCTCCCCCGACCATCCGTGCCTGTTGCCGAACCTGCTCCCGAGCCTGTTCTCGGACCTGTTGCTGTTTCCGACCTGCCAGGACCCAAACCTGATTTGAGAGGCTTGGAGGGACTAGAATTGGTGCCGCTGCTGCTCCTTCCTCTGCCCAAACCTGCTGCAGCACCAGACCCTTTAAGAGCAGCCCCGTTACTGGCAGCCCCAGGGCTTTGTACAGTGGCTGCAGTTCCGTCAAGAGAGGGTTTATCGCGAAGAGTAGTGGCGGCCTTGGCTTCGGTGGAGTCAGTGGAAACAGAGCGAGCACAGGGGTATTGCTTTGTAGCATCAATGGCGGAGAAAGAAGATGAGCGGACATGCTGTTGCGTAACCTGCTGCTGCTGCTGCGGCTGCTGCGGCTGCTGCTGCTGGTGCTGCAAGTGGGGCATGTGTGGCGTGAAGGCTCGAAAGCGAGAGAGAGCAATGCACTTGCCGCAACGTAGCTTGTGAATGCCCTTCTTGGTAGGTGGCAGGATGGCAGGGATCTCAAGAAGTTGTCCGCAGTGCTGGCACTGAGGGGTGGAGGCGGGAGAATGGACAGGAAAGGGGAAAAGGAGGAAGAAGAAAACGTTCATTGAGACGTTTTCTTATTGCGGAATGGGTGCGAGACATGGGAGACAGACATTTCATTTCCTCCTTCCGCAGGTAACGCATTTCTTCCTAAACGCGTGTATTTACCAGATAAGCTAATCCTTGTCCTCAGCTTCAAGTCAACGCATTTTTGGAGAACAACGCATTTTTTCATTGTTGATCTTCAAGTCAGCTTAACACCCTCCCTTCTCGGCTGGCGTCAATTCGTTCCCTCACTGCCGTGCTTAATTTCTCGCCCTGAAAATAATATATTAAAGAATCACTTTAACTGATCCCAATTAGTCCCCGCTCGTTCTCAATCATCCCAAACTCAATCCCTCTCAATTCCTCACCCATCCCAATAATCTCCTAAACAATCTCACCTGAACTGGAGGCCTTCAAAGTCATACTACAAACCCCATCATCCCACCTGCACGACACCAGGCCTTCAAAGACCATTGCCCTTCCCATCATCCCATGCTTACCTGCACGACTTGAGGCAACCCCGGTGCTGGCAGCATCGGTAGCTCCGCGACCCCCCCCTCCCCCGCTTCCCCCGCTTCCCCCTCTTCCCCAACCTGCGCCAGCTGGGGGAACCCCGCAGGGGAGGGGGACATGGATTCCCCCGCGCCAGAGGTGTTCCCCTTAAGCGCGTTTCCCCCTGGGCCGCTTCCCCCGAGCCCCTCCATCCGCGGAATGGCGGACACGGTCCGCGCAGGCCGCCCTCCTCCCGCTCCCGCTCCTCCTCCCGCCTTCAACCCCGAACCTGCTGCCGAACCTGTTCCCGGACCTGTTCCCGAACCTGCCCTCGAGGCTGCACCAGCTGCCGAGCCTCGTGGCTGGACTGGTGAGTACTGAGGAACAGCAGCCCTCACTCCCAACGGTTGCACCAGCACTCTTCCACTACTATCCATAGTAGGGGTGCTTATCCCTCCCCCACCCCCTCCTTGCATACTAAATACCCTCGGATCCGCAACCTTTTGCCCTCCCAAACTAAGAGCACGCACACCCCCGCCCGCCCGCCCTCTATACCCCGTTGTAGTCACGGCCTTGGTAAAATTTCCCGCGTTACCCTCACTCCCTGCCGCCTTCCCACGAGGGCTCGGGCTCTTCGCGCTGCCTGGTAACCCGTCGCCTTGTAACGCGGATTTCTGCAAGCTGGCGGGCAGGACCTGGCCGCTGATTGCTCGCCTTAGTCCTTGTGACTGCGCTGCTGCTACCGCCGCTCCCGCTCCTGCTACCGCTGCTCCCGCTCCTGCTACCGCTCCCGCTCCCGCTCCTGTTACCGCTCCCCCTCCTGCTACTGCTCCTGTGATTTTTGGTCCTGTATTTCCTCCTCCTCCTTTCGCCGCGGCTGCTGCTGCTGCTGCTAGTGCCGCCACACCCACCGCCCCTCGTTGCTGCTGTGCCTGCGGCCGTCGCTGCTGCCCTTGCTGCGCGGACCTCTTTCGCACGTCCAATTCGCCAAGCGTCACAGCTCGCGAATACTTTTCGCCGGTTTCGCTGCCCTTCTGCCTGTTCGCGAGTCCGTGGTTACCACCAGCCCCGATATTAACAGACCCGACAGCAGCGGCGCCAGAAGCAGCACCATTTCCAGCCGCAGTAACGGCGCTACCAGCGCTAGCGATGCCACTAACGCCAACGCCGCTGCCAGCGGTAACGCCGCGACCCGGAACTGCGGTGTTATTAGAAGCCATAGCAAGGGCTTTAAGGCCGATCGCGCCGACTGCCCCGCGAGCGGGTTTCACGGGGGAGTTTTGGAACCTTGGCTTGCATCCCAGCGTCATCGACCGGCCGAACTTATCCGCCTCGTTTTCCGGCTCGTCGTCGTCGTCATCGTCATCGTCATCGTCATCGTCATCGTCATCGTCTTCGTCTTCGTCATCGTCACCGTCTCCGTCATCAATTTCGTCATCGTCATCGTGTGACTGCGGACGCTGTGATTTTAGCGGAGGGATCCCGTCCTGCCCCCGCTGTAGGCCCAACATGGACGGCGTGAACCCTTGATGCAGCGCGAGAGCGGTCTTTCCGTCTAGAAGCGACACCGTGCGACTGATATGCGACGGCAGGTGCGACTGCGGCTGCGACTGCTGCTGCTGTTGCTGCAAAAGCAGCTGTTGCTTTTCCACGGCCGTTGACCGTTGGATGAACAGAGATTGCACTCGATTGTACCCGCCAATTGCGGCCGACGAATCATCTATGTCCGCACTCGCTGATCGACCTTTCTTTCCTGGGAAGTTCCCTTTATAGCCAACAACGCCGCTGTTGACGATGCCGGAAGTCGCTCGGAAGAGTCGCGCGTGCTCCGGCGACACGTCTAAGAGCGACGTGCGACGAGAAATGGTCGGCTCTCGGCCGTAGGTAGGCTCGTCCGGCGTGCCGCTCGCGATTTGCGTTGATCCCTGAGGGAAGCTCATCCTGTTTCTAGCACGAAAATGGCTTCTGTGTTTACTTCGTTCCGATTGCTGATTAAAACAGAGATTAGACAACGATGCTGGTTTCTGAGAGGAGCAAACAAGTTGGGACCTCGACTAACTGAATAACAGTCAAATGCACATGCCGTCATAACACTTCATCATCATAAGTTACGCTACATCACACCTAACTAGCAATGGCACCTAGAAGTGACAAGCACCAGAGACAAGACCAGGACGCTATGGGAAGCCAATCGCGGACTAAGGGCCTGGAACCTCCAACTAATAGGACTGGTAAATTGACTCGAAGCGAGAATCGCCTCCGACCTAATGTGTCGAATTTCGCAAGCGTATAACATCTTTGATTGACGCGTTTCCCCATAGTATGTAGCAGCCTTTCTCCAAGAGGCGGTTGGCTGGCTGCTGTAATATTGGAAATGTGCAAGAAAAGCTCGAGCAGGAACAGAGGGCATGTGTTGTGCTGTGGACATGATGTGTGACAGCGGTGGCTATGGCGGCGACAGGGCGTGAGATGGCAATGGCGGATGTGAAGGGAGAGGTCAGTGGGGTGGGTAGTGTGGTGGTAGTTAATGCGTGTCCTTGAAGTTGGTTTGTATCTCTCTACCATTTGTAACCGTACTAAACGCATATATAAACGCTTGATAACGTTACGAAACCTCAAAAATCACATACGCGTTTGAGAGAAACTCTCGTACTGTCCTCGGCAGAATTGAGGGAGGTTGGAGCAGGTGGCCACAGGGAGCACCACCCACGCACTTCCCGCCCTCCACCAACCAGTCTGCACACACGCGGACGTACTGTTTGATTACACGTGGCTGAATTAAAGCAGGTTTGTCTCTTCGCCCACGGCACAGAACCACCATTGGTAGCGAATGGACGAAACTGTCAAAACCTCGATGAAATCATTTTCAATCGACAGAAATCTGTAACTCATATTCTACCACTAATTCCAAACATTGATGGAAAAAATCATATATGCTCCTCATCTCTCATGCAAAGAGGCAGCAGATAGGGGGGCTGGCAGGGGCAGCAACCCGCGGTCTGAGAGGGGGCCAGCAACCAGCGGGGGTGACCGAGCGGCAGCAGCCAGAGGGGTCGAGGGGGAGGGCGCAGCCAGCGAGGCTGGCCGAAGGGCAACAGCGAGTGGGGATGATTGGGGGGCAGCAACCCGCGGGGCTGCAAGAGCGGCAGCAGCCAACGGGGCTGCCTATGGGGCTGCAGCCTGCAGGCCCGGCTGAGGGGCAACACTCAGCGAGGCTGACCAGGAGGCAATAGCTTGTTTGGCTGACCAAGGGGTTGCGGCCAACGGGGCCGAGTAGGGGGGAAATCCCCTGCAGGGACGACTGGTGGGCAGCAGCCAGGCCCTACGTTTACCCCCCCCCCCCCCCCCCCCCCCCCTTCCCTCATCCCCTTCTCGAATCCCATGCGAAACTTGATTTCGCACGTTCAGGGTAGGAGCCACATGCCACATCCAATGCAGCTGATGTGCAACGCTGTTCTCAGGCTCTTGGGTCGACTTGAGACGACAGAGGACTCAGATGGCAGTCGTCTGTGTCAGAATAGCCTAGGCAAAGGTTAGAAACCCTAGGAAACCCTGGCTACAAGATAGGCAAAACAGGATTTGATTAAAGAGAAACAAGAGTACAAGTAGTGACTAGGCAAGCAAGCAAGGAGGTATACCACCAAACAGAAAGCTACACTACACTAGATAACATTGTAGGCAGTTTATACATAAAATATAACAATATATTTTCCTACAGTCTGCCACCACGATAAATTGATGATGATGTGTGGGGTTCTTGACGCATTTGGTTGGGTCCTCAAGCAGCCTCAGTCGAGCGCAGCTGCTGAGGTAGCTATGGCCTTCCTTCTACTTATACGGTACTAGGGATTCCAACTGGGCAAGGCCAGGGGCACATATCGGCAATCAGGGAGCCGTTGGTGAAATTTTGGGAGGGGAGTGGCCTGTTCGAGTCAGCAACGGCTGCAATGAAACTAGCGGCTCGTCCTTTAACCTTCACCCCTTCCGAGTATGACTCTGACGCAATGCGCTTGGCTCGTTGCCGCACGAGGTGCAAGGAGGGGGAATGGAATATGGGTTTAACGCGGCAGCATCCTGCAACCCTCCTAGCTCATGGTTGACTTGCTACGCGCAAAACACCCATCAAGTGAGACGGTCATCCATGAGTGGGTGAAGGATGTCAGAGTCGAGTAGTCTCTCATCCTCCAGCTCTCAGTGGAGGTGCTCGGTCAGGCGATTCACTCAAAGCCGAATGGTGAAGTCTGCCCCGTTGCTATAGAAGATGTGCGACCCCGCATCTTGGCTTGAGCTCTTAGTATTGTGCTTCGCTCGACTATGGTGTTGCACTTGGAGTCTGTTACAATCCCAAGTGGGACTTAGCGAAGGATCGCTCAGGGTTGATCGCAGAGTAGTGTTGCAGCGGAAGATTTGAATCTCAGGTCAGAGTGAATGTAAACGACTGAGTTGATAAAAGCATGCATACATCGAGTTTATATAAGAGTACAAGGGAATACGAAAAGTCCTAGACTAGCCATGTACTCTAAGGGGTACATTCCCTTATTACAACCGAATTCAAACCGTGCGGCGCGGGAACCCGTTTCAAACCTGTTCCCGCCTTTTTCACTTCAAATGTTTCTGCCTGCATCGGTCTTGGTCAGACAGTTGCTGTGTCGCTTCGACTCTTCTGACTCCTCGTCTTCGTACTCGGTAGAGTCGGCTCCTGCAGCATACAGGAATGCCTTCTCATAAAACTTCATATCGTAACACTCCCCTTCATTCCTGGACGCGGGTGGAGCTGACTCGCTTGACTACTCCGGTGAGGTCAGAGCAGTGCTTGTACTGCTGACGTGGCAGGCGCTTGGTAAGAAAATCTGCTGCCATCTCAGTGGTAGGGCAGTAGGCGAGGTCAACCTTGCCTTGGTCGATTTCGTCCTTGACGAAGAAATACCGAAGCGCAATGTGCTTCGTGCGGTTCACGAAACCTGGCTTGTTCGCGATCCTGATGGCACTCTGGTTGTCGCAGTGAAGGCGAAAGGTAGGCGAAGTTGGAATTTTTGCCTCCTGTAGCAGCTCCTGCAGGTACAGGCCTTCGCGAACTGCTGTTGTCGCGGCGATGTATTCTGCTTCAGCCGATGACAGGGCAACCAGCTCCTGCTTCTGCGAGTTCCAGGAGATTGGCCCAGTTGGTTCCAAGCGAAAAACGAAGCCGGTTCGGGACCGTCGATTTTCGGGATCAGCTGCATGATCTACGTCCACGTAGCCGTTGAGATTGAAGGAGGTCGTCGTCAGCGTGGAGTAGGAGAGCCCAATGTCAGGTGTGGAGATGAAGTACTGCAGGGCGCGCTCCAGGTCCAGCTGGTTCTCTGCTACTGGCTTGCGAGAATACTGTGCCAGTTGGCTGGCGATGTACGAGAGGTCAGGTCGCCAGGTGACAGAGGCGAATAGCAGGCACCCCAAC